GGGGCAGAGCTGAGCCGTGCTGGGATTTTGCGCGGGGTGTGTGGGGGGTGTCTTTCCAAGACCTGCCTCGCAGCAGTGTCCCTCTTGAAGCAGGAACTTCAGGGCTTCCGTGCCTGTATGTATAGGTATGCATCTCCAGCTGTGCATGTAGATATTTTGGAGCTTTTCCCAGCTGCAGCTCGAACAAAGACCAGGGCCGGCTCCGCTCCCCTTTTTCGGTGCAGCGAGCCGGGATAACGGCGCCGAAATGGGCTGAGATGCAGCCGAGGGGGAAGGAGGGTGGAGGGGAGATGGAGCCCAGCCCCGGCAATGGCTGATGGAGCAAAGTCTGGGCAGAGCCACTCGTGATCCTGGCTCCTGCACCCCCCCCTTCCTACCCCCCCAGCATCCTTCGGGGTAGGCTGCGGTGGCCAACGTGTGGGGAGATGACCCCCAAGGGACCATGCCCTGTAGAGCGCATCTTGGGGCTGCCACCGAAGCTGGGGAGAACGTGCTTCCTCTTGCTGGGCATTAAACTGCAAGTTGTCCAAGTCGCAGGGGCTGCAATCCCCGCCTTCCCAATGACTCCATTCCTGACTATCCAAACTCCATGGGGCCGTGCAAAACCCCATATTGTTTCCATATGTCGATGCTTGGAGAAGCCAAACAAAGAGCAAACAGGAGAGTTCTGGGCCCTCTGAGCTCCTGCTCAGGAAACATGGGCCCTTCTTGTTTCCCGAGGAGACCGGCAAGAAGAAACTAGTTGTTTGCTGCCCTTCCCGTGCCCCCCTCCCCATGGAGTCCGGGAAGCAACTGGAAATTCAAGCGTTGGGTCTCTGTCAGAACCCAACTGTCATGTGCTCGGTTCCAGGTGGGAGGATGGGCTGCCCAGGCCAAGGCAGTAAGGGGTTTCACTTCCACCCCCCCAAAAAAAACCCCTTTCAGCTTTAAAGTAAGTTCTTAGCCAGGCAAAAGGGCAGCTTTATCCCCAAAGGCTTCCAGCAAAAGCAGGGAGTCTTTTGCAGAAAAGCTTTACCCCCCTGCTCAAAGTGCCCTGAAGATCTTGCATATGGTGTGTAAGGTTCTTGTCTAAGAGCAATGGAAAAGGAAAGAGCGTTCGGCATAGGGACCAAATGGAAGAGCTGCCGAAGCAACAGCATTTGTCAACTGTGCTGCTGAGCTTCAGAGCGGGTTTTCAAAGGCTTTTTTTTTTTTTTTTCTTTCCCCTGCATTGCTCTTTCACAAGAATGGCTTCAGCCTCTTATCTGAGGAATTCCCCCAAATGATCGGCTCTGTTTTGGGAGCTCTTTGTTCCTCCAAGGAGCTGAGCAGCAAACAAATAAACACATAAATTCTTCCTGTGGAAGAACACTGCATTTTCTGGTGAAAACGAGGCTTCCCTTTTGCATTGTTCAGTCTTGGGCTTTTTTTTTTTCTTTTTCTTCTTTCTTCTTTTTTTGTAGCCTTGAGCTCCAACTCTTTGCTCTGTCTCCAGCTGCATCAAATAATTCTGCCACCTCTCTTGTGCCTTTTATCTAAAACACTCAGCCTGCTTGCTCTCTTAACTCTGCAGTGGGTTATTTAGTTTTCTGCTTTGCTGGGGCAGAAAGTGGCACTAGCTATTACTGCGCATTTCCTCTCTTAAACTACGTTGAAAGACTTGCCTCTCCTGGAAAGATTTTGTCTATATTAAGACAAGGGGTAATAGGTAGGTGTGACACAGAAAAACATGGGGACAGGTAGGAGATGCTGTGGTAGGAGCACAGATTTAGTCACGTGGCAGAGAATTTCATGCCTAAAGGCACTTTTATGTGCATGTACAAATATTTCTCATGTGTTTGTATCTGGAACCTCTAAGCCTGAATGAATAGGACTGCACCACTCGACTCCTGCGTTCAGCATAGTGAGCAAATACATATGGGGACATACGTCCTGCCATAATGCACACAAGAAACCTGTAATCCACTTCATTCCTGGTTGCAGAAGGTTCCTGTGAAATGGGATGAGTCAGTTTGCCTCCTCACTTTGCCCTCAGGGTGGTTGCAAGGAGAAGGGTTTGTGCCAGGTCACCTGAGAGTTGAGAGCAGAAACGTGCTGGGAAAAAGGGAGCAGGAGAGAGCTGGGCTTCACTCAGAGGTTCCAGACTGAGTTTTGGCCAAGCCATGGAAATGCTCTGAGGGCTCGGCAAGGGACAATTAGCAGGCTGTAGACTCGATGGCTGGCTCCTCCTCCCCTTCTCCTAGATCCCAAGGCAGGGTCCACTGATGAATCTCTCCTGGGGCTGTAAACTCAACTGGTGGCCCTGTAATCCTGGGTGCTGCACGTAGGTTGTGGCTGCTGGGTTGGCATGCTCGGGTAACTCGGTTTTGTTGCAAGGATCATGGGGAGACTGAATGAGACAGTCCAGGAAATTCTTGCTTAGAGGGTTGTGGGGTTGGCTTCGTCTCCAAAGCAGAGTCGTTTGGCCGCCCCGATGTGACATTCAGGATCGCCCACTAACCTGCTTTAGTCTGTTTCCCTGAGATTAGGTTTTTGTTTTCTTTCCCTGCTTTGGCCATGGCTACTCAAAAGTCATGCCTCTGGAAACAATTGTTATTTTTTCCCCAATTTTCTTGTAAAAAGCTTTTTTTTTTTCCTGAGAGAAACAGGATTGAGAAGAACCTCAAGAGGTCATGCAGTCCCATGGCAGAGTGGGACAGCTGCTGAACAGTATTTGTTCAATTTATTTTTTAAAATACTCCATAACAGGGACTGCTGAGCCTCAGCAAGCTCTCCCAGGGCTTCACCGACTTCACCTCCTTAGGATAATCTGTTTGTGGTGGGGCTGAAAGACGTAGGAGCAGGAATGATGCTGCCTTGCACTTCCCACCCTGCATCAGCCCCCACTCTGGTTTGTATCCTGTAAATGCAGAAAAGAAAGGCTTGCTTTCTTGAGTGCTCAAAAGTCAGAGGCCGTGAAACATCGGGAACAGACCTCATCTGTCTGCATATGTAGGTCAACAGTTGCAGTGTGGATGTGATGTTCTTGTATGTAAAATACAGAGAAGATCATCCGTCCACTGCAAAGTGCCTATGTCCCTGCTGAGTCACTGGTCCAGGCTGTTTCTGCAACCATTTCCCACCACTGAATGCTATTTTCCAATCTTTCCTCTTTCTTGGGCAGATCTGAAGGATGAGGGAGGGGAGCCAGCTGGTGCAGTCCATCCTTCTGGGGTAGGATAAACCATTTTAGGGGACCTGCCGTGGAGGAAGGCATGCTTTTTTTTGCTCTCCCCCTGCTCCAGATTAAAAACGTTGGTTGCATATGCTGCCCTCATAGTGCTATGACTCCCTGGGTAGTGGGACAGTGCAAATCCTTGCAGGTCTTGCTGCAACGCTGGTCTTGCTCTAGCTGAGAAATTGTTTCCACCACACGCGCTAGCTCAAGCATAGCCTGAGCTTTGTGCCCTGCTGCCAAAGGCAGGTCACAGAAAGCTCGAACCCATGGTCACGCCTGGACCATTTCCCATCAGCGTCCACAGTAGCTGAGCTGAATAAGCCCAAATCTTGGGCTTGAGGTTGCAAGCCTGAACTTGCCTCCATTGTTTAGTTTCAAGTTGGCAGCTGTAGCTTGAACCCGCTTTTGGGGCAAACGGGAGGATGCCATAAAGTACGAGGTTGACCTGTGGTTGTATTGAGGCTTTAGCTGACAGCTGATCCCTCCAAGAGCTTGAAATGTATTCCTTATGCTTGAACCCATCACTTGTTCAATTTTTGTTGGGAAAAAAAAAAATCTATCGCAGATCGATACAGCCGAAATAGCAAGCGTGGCTGTGGCCAGGAGTGGTGCGTGCCATGTGTCAGAGGTGGGGACGGCCAAGCGAAGAGGTCTTCTCGCCAGCTCCTAACCGAGGTGTGCCTTTCCCTTGCAGCCCACACGCTCGTCTGCTTTTCGTGCTCGGATGCATCCTCCAACTGGGCCTGCCTGACGCCTGTCAAGTGCGGGGAGAACGAAAACCACTGCGTGACGACGTATGTCGGAGTGGGAATCGGTGAGTGGTGACAGGACCTTCCTCTGCCCCTCTTGGCTGCTCTCCTGGGTCACCTGCCGAGCGGCAGGAAGGCTTTCCTTCCTTCGGCTGGAAAAAGGGGAAAGTTCTGCTTCCCAGCTGAGAGCCGGACCATCGCGAGGGAATTTTTACAAGGGACGTGCTGCCAGACGGAGTCACGTTAAAGCCCACGTGCCTGCACCGATGCCGGGAGTCCAAGGGGAATTTGGGGGTGGGGGCGGGGAGGTTGCTGATGAATAAGTGAAAGTGTGGAGGATGCTGCAGGCTTCCTCTGTAGGAAGCCCCGGGGTTGCCTTTCCTGCTTTTGCGCTGTGGTCAGGCGGTTCATCCCCGAGTCCCACCTTTGCTTCTTCGCTCTCCATGGACGAGGTGGGGTTGCCAGGAAGGGAGATTTGTGGGTTTCCTCCCTAAGTGCCAGGAAAGATCGGGGATGGGGGGGGGGTTCTGTGCTTCCCAGCTGCTGCTTTTAGGGAAGCAGGCTGCTCTGGCAGGTCTCCTGGCATCATTGCAGAGCCCAGCCTGGCTTGCCTTGCTCTCTCTTACAGGAGGGAGGGCTGTTGCACGCCCGAGTTGCAGGGTCCACAGTGTGGGCGGGTCGTGCGTGCACAAACGGAGGCTGGGAGCTTTTATAAACCTGCTGTTCTTAGCACGGTGCTAATGGTTTCCTATTTCCCGCTGCTAAATGTGCGCGGTGCCTCTCTCGCGGCCGATGCTTGAAACGCAGACTTTGCTCACAAGCGCTTCCCTTGGTGCTCCCTATGCCCCATGCTCTCTGTCTCGCATGAGGAGTCCCAGGGTCAAGCTTGAGTGGGATTTCTGAGATTCTTCACGGGAGCCGTTGCGGCCAAGCTTTGGCCGACAGCGTGGAAGGGGTGTCCCTGGGGTGTTGCTTGGTCTCTAGGGTCTGTGTGGGAGGTTATCACGGGTGTTCCGTGAAACGTGTGGGCTGGCTGAGATTGCTGCCGCAGCCTGATGCCGAGAAGCACTCTCCATGCCACCTGTGACTCTTCGGCTATTTCAGTACTGTTATTTCCTTTGCAGAACAGGTGATCAGAAAGCTGAGAAACATTCTAAAGCTGTCTCTTTTTGCTTTTCTTCCTCCCCCCCCCCCCCCGCCCCAACCTAAATTCAGGCAGCAAGTCTGGCCAGTCCATCTCCAAAGGATGCTCTCCCATTTGCCCCAGCGCTGGGATTAACCTCGGCATAGCGGCTGCCTCCGTTTACTGCTGCGACTCCTTCCTCTGCAACATCAGCGGTTCCAGCAGCATGAAAGCCAGCTACGCAGTCCTGGCCTTGGGGGTCCTTGTTAGCTTCATCTATGTCCTCAGGGCTCGCGAGTGATGGGGCTGGCCGAGGAAGAGCCGTCTTCCACGGGCCGTCGCGGGTCTCATTAGCCAATATCTTCTCTGTCGCTGTCTGCAAGGAGATCCTCTACTTCTCAGCAGGCTTCCAAGATGGTTATTTCCCAGACTTTATGCTCTTCCAGCATCGGAGACCTGGGCAGTTTGGCCAAGCTGTTCTCCTCCTTCTGTGGACATACCCCATTGCACTCTCACACCTCCTTGGCAAAGGTGGATCGTTTTGGAAGGGTTTCTGCTTTTATACCTAATACCCCCCCCCTCGTTTCTAAGGTTGGTTAAAACAAGGCTGGGACTCGCCAAGAACCGATTAATCCCAGACACCACCCGGTCAAGCGTTCAGACGTTCCTGCCTCTCACCTCCGTGGAGGTGCCTGGCACCGGCGTGCTCCAGCACATGGGTGGCCCCGGCATCGGGAATGCATGACCCGAAGGGAGACACATTCCCAGCCCCTTGCAGCTGCAGTCTCTTTTTATAAACCCGTTTCGTTTCTTCTGATCCTGGGCTGACTTTTCTGGAAAACAAATGACATGTACCTTGTCCTTCCGAGCTCTGTAAGTGCCAGACCTGAATAAACATGCTCCTGTTGTTACCTGAGATGGGACGTGTGCTGTGTGTGTTTCCTTGCTCCAGACAGAGAGATTAGAAACGGCTGTTATGGAAAACCCAAATACTATGCCTGGCACGAGGGCCTCTTACCCTCTCAAGCGGCTTTTGAGTCCTTCATCTCAGCATTCCTTCCAGCTCACCTCTGAGCAGCAAGTCCATCTCCTCCCTGTTGCTGTCCTTTCTAATAAACACCTCTGGGCCACCTTGTTTCACCTCTCTTGGAAATCACCTTTTCCAGGTGCATTTTAGTGAAAAATGCCAGTTATTGGGGTCTTGAGTCAACCCCATTACTCCTAATGGAGCAAGCGCACTGGGAACAGGACCTCTAAAAATTAGTCTGCATGTTACAAAGACTCGGTGCCTCGATCTCCCTACTTTGGACTTGTGATGGTGATACACAATAACATCGATACCTAAATAATCCAGGGCAACAGGTCTGTTTGCAAAATTTAGTGAAGTCAGAGGCAAAGATATCAATACTCAGATCTGTAGGTTCAACCTGCAATCCCTGGCTGATGGTGCACGTGGACTGCAGAAGGTGACTTCACCACCAAACCTGCCACTCCTGCTGTCCCACAGATCCCAGGATCTTCCCAGGTCTTTTGGCAGTGTTGCTTCTGGAAGTTCTCAGCCATCCCATGGGAGGAGTTGTGTCCTCCTGCCATCTCTGCGTTTGTGCTGGTTTCCTACCTGCTTTGCCTACCTGTGGACCTGCTAGACAAAACAAGCCAAAATTGAGCCTTAAACCGTCAGGTGAAATCTTGCTGTCGCTTCCACTGATTGATCAGAGGTGCAGTGGGCTTTTTTTCTCTTCTAGCAGCAAAAATCAGGTGTAGTATTGGCACTCTTTAACCATGCCCTCCTTGTATGTGGTTCTCCTGTTTTGTGTCAAAAAAACAACCTCTCAAAAAAGCCTCTCAAGCTGCACACACTGTTCAATTATACCTCTGTCCCACTTAAATAAGCGTTAAACGGCTTCTTTTGAAAGATGGTGTGCAGATGTATAGAAATATTTGCAACAAAAGTGGTTACATGTTTTTTCCTCTGCCTTCTCCCTGTCTTTTAATTAAAATGACACATGCTAATGACAACCTTTGCAACAGGAGGGACTGGTCATCGTGATGTGACCTGCAATTAGGTGATGAGTTTGGTAAGAACGCATTGCTTGTCTCCTTGGTCCTCAGATGTGCCTTCCTCCGGTTAATGCATCCTCCCTCACCTGCTGGGACCACAGGGCTCGAGGTGCGCCACACCTCTGCTATGCACAGATAGCACAGGGAAAACTGGGGAAAAAATTGCTAGAAATGGGGTGAATATTCCCAAGCTTCCCTGTGCCTGAGCCTTCCTCCCAAGAGGTTTAGAAACCTCGTTTGCAGGGTTAATTTGTTCCTCGCCACTTGCTGTGAGTAGATGCTCTAGTGAGACCCAGGCAGCACCCAGAGTACTCTACCTTGCAACTAATGGGGCTGTAACTCTTTTCTATCCACCTGGTTAAAGGTATCTTGGTTTTGGACTCAAATTACCCTCACACCACCTCTGCTGTGAGCAAAGAGCTAAACTTAAAAGCCATCAGCACAGCTGTGTCCCTAATGCCTGTTCATGCCTTTCCGAGGCTCTTGAGGATGCCACACTGGACAACCCCATGGGCTGAAGCTACGAGCAGGGTTACGAGACCCGGTTGCCTCCTGCAATGGCCATCCCCTTCCTATCGCAGCATTTCGGAGTTTGCTGGTGCCAAGGACTCGATTATGCAAGGGAACGAGGGCTGGCAGGGAGAGCATTCGGCAGGCTACTTACCCTATACAAATAGCAAGTTATATTAACGGTATTGCCAGGGGACAGATCTGAAGGTCACTTCACACGTGTTCTTGAGCCTATAGATAATGAATAGATTGCATATGGAGATTTTTTTTTCGCTTCACTCTCTTTTTGTCTTTCTGTCCTCCTCATGCGCTATATTCCTGTACACTTAGTATATGGAAGAAGAGATATTTGCAGTTTTTCCTTTTGAACACGTGGCAAAAATCTCTTTGATAGATATATGTATATTTGAGAGAGAGGGAGGGTGTGACAGCTTGTCAAATGCAAGAGATGTTATTCAACAGTTTAATCCCAAGCATCATATGATCAGTTCTGCCAACTCTCACAATTTCTGGTCCTACTATAGATTATTTTTTTTTTGCCCCCAAATCCCCAGCACCAGAAATCATGTGAACCTCAGCTGTCATAGAGCCCAGGAGTGAAAGGCCTGAAAATGTGCAGCTGTAGTAATTAAAAACATTAATAGTAATAAGAAAATAAATAGCAAGAACCCAGCATTTACAGAGCATTAAAACTAGTGGCTTGTTAAACCACACGCCTGCTTTGGAACTTGAGGGCCATGGTGGGACAGCCTTTAAGTGCTTTGAACGTGTTTACTTGGACTGTGGAATTAGAGATCGAAATCTCAGCAGAAAACTCAGATCTTCACCTTTTCTGACAAGGCGAGAGGTTATGAGGGGAGGCAGCTTTCCTCCGCATAAAATATCCCGGAACAGTTTTCACTGGAAAATAAGAAAAGCTTAAGTCAAATACCTGCCCTTTTTGGAGCATGCTAATGAGAAAATGGTTTCTGTGCTTCCATCCTGGAAATGGCTGTATTTCAACAGCAGCTGCTGCTGTCTACCACTATGCCAGTGTCGCAAGGGCTCTCATTTTTGTGTATTGTCTGTATGTACGCGCTCAAAGCTTACTGCGGCACCAGCCCTTTCCACCCAGGTTCACTTGGTTTGCTGTTTGCTGAAAAGGAGGACTTAAAAATGAACAAAGTTCTTCCAACCGTTTTTGAGATTTTTTTTTTTTTGCAAAAGGGCAAAATTTCTTCTTTTGGAAAACACAAACCTGATGTGACTTCCTTGTACAAACAGCGAGAATAAATAAGGCTGGTTACTTAATCATTACTCCAAGGATCCACATCGTCACTCAAAGAATGTCCTTGCTTGCTGTTAATTTACTCAAGTTAGGGCTCATTTGAAATGTCGTGCCTCCCAGGGACCCTATTTGCCATGAAGGAGGCTGTGGTCCCACCACCCATGTGGGAAGCCTGGTAGCTCTGGTCGGGGTGGCTGTGCCTCCATGCTGGAATGAGGTATAGGCATCCATGCTCTCCTGTCTCTGGGAAAGGCAGATGTGGTGCACGTCTGGTTGCCTGGAGGTTTAGGGCCCTATCGCAAGCCTCTTGTTCCTATGATCCCAATGCTTTTGCACCCTGAAGCCAGGCTGTGCTTTCGCTGTCATCCTCAGCGGTGAAGTGCTGTGGGACTCAGCGGTTTGGGATGAAGATGGCTCTGAATCCTTCCTTGATCCTGGAGGAGTTATTTCGCCCCTGGAAAGCTGCTGTCTCAGGCTATCAAACTGGAATCGGGATAGACACACCCAATTTTGCATTTTGGGAGTGTCCATGGTGCCCAGGGAAGCGAAGCCCTGGGTCGGTCCTGCCATCTACTGGCTTTTGCCAGACTTGGTAGAGATGCTTTGAAGCCCAGATCTCACAAGTCAAGGAAGAACCTTTAATCTGAAATCGGTGTAGGGAGGCAAGGGCGAGCTACCTTTAACCAGATAATTGCATGCAAAGCATAGAATCAGAAACATCGGAGACCGATTGAATGTTTTAATTTGTCCAGCTTTGCTCTGACAGCGTAAATTGAGAAATGAAAGGCTTAACAGGCTTCCCAGGTCCAATGTTTTCCAAGGGAACACTTTTCCCAGCCCAAACCCTACCGTTTCATCAAAACTGAAACACTTCATGAAAATACAATAAGGCCAATAAAGTGTTGCAGAAAAATATTGACACGTTTTATTTCAGCTTTGTTGGATGATCTCATTTTACTGAGGTAGTTACACTGAAATGTTGATTTTACTAATACATATATGTGAGATTTGTAATTGTGTATTACCTTTATTGTAACAGAATAAGCAGAATAAAGAAACATTGATTCCTTTAAATATATTAACATAAGTATAAGTGTAGTGTACGTTACCTATTGTTTCTTATACTCGAATAAAAATATATGGAATTAATAAAAAAGGTACACTTGGAACAAAATTTTTGGATGGTTCTGCAGATATTATGGATATTATCTCTTGCTTTGTGTGAAAAGAAAGTGCTTGGGTTGGATTCAAAGCCCAGGGCTGGGGGTTGCAGGCTGGTCAGAAGGAGGACGGACATGAGGCTGAGCCTATAGACTATAGGGAGGGATAAATCCATACATGCCATCTCAAGGCCATTGGAATCTCTTCCTGGTGATGGATAAAGAACAGGGATTGTCTTGGCCTTCAATAGTCATGCTCATAAATATCATTGACTTGCCCGTGACCCTACTGGGAATGGAGATGGGATTTGTCCTTTGAGCCTGCGTTCTTTCTTGTTGGAAAGGGCGGCTATTTTGGGCACATAATGGTCCCTGTGTGGGTGTCTGTGGGCAGCTGCTCCTCTTCCCGAGCTCCCTGGGGCTCCAGTTCTGCAGGGACTGCCTCTGGCCCTGCTCCTGCCTGCGGACAGACGCACACGCGGACACACAGACATGGGGCTGGTTGCTCTGGAGACTCCCTCCCACTCTCCTGAACTGGGGAGCGTTCACGCCGCTTTGCAAAGATGTGTCATTCTAGTTTTTGTTTAAAGCTTTATTATTTTGGGGAGCCCAGTTGGATCCCGTGGGAGAAGATTATGTTCCCTGGGGAATGTAAGACAAATGCAAAATAACAGTGATGGGCTCTCAGGAGTTTCTTAGGAACAGCCACAGGCTGTTTGAAACAAAGACATAAAAAATCTTTCCTTTTCTCTGGATAACCCCAGTCTGGACTATCTCCTTCCTGGGAAAGGGTCTTCACTGCTCTCCCTCCTTGCAATGCCTATTTTTCAGCATCACTTATAAGTGTTTTTGGGGATGGGAGGGCACTAGTGGTGACAGGGAGTATTTTGGGGACTGGAGGGCATTGCACAGCAGGTGGTCACAGAAGAAACCTGCCCCCAAGAGGCTGCACCTCGCTCCTGCCTGGTGTTCCCGTCCTTTCTTCTCACATTGCTGCCCATGTCCCCCGCTCCTGCTGCTCCATGGGGACCTGCCTGTCTTTAGACAAGCCCAGGATGGACTTTCCCACATTTCAGGTGTTCAGAAAATTCAGGGAAATGATGCCATTGCTCCAAATCTAAAAGGGGACACCATTAATGTTTTGACACAGAGCTAGTAGAACTGCTTCCTTCAATAACGTCAGTATTTCCAGGTGAGCCTTGCTAAGAGATGTCTCAATACCAAATACCTGAAAGTATTTCTGGAAACTAAACAACACAGTCTGTTGCCAGTGTTTCTGTTTCAGTTGGCTCTGCAGATGTTTTTCACTGGCATCCCAAGGCTGTGCTGATCATCTCACGGTATGAGTCACCATGTGCTAGCAAATGGGTCTGAACTGGGAGAATTCCTGCCTCCCCATGCCTGCTCTTTACTGTCCCTCTGGACAGGCCTCCACTCTAGCCGTGGCAAACACAGGTTTTGGAGGAAGAAATAGTTCTGGGGCTGGAGGGGAGTCTCCAGAAAATGGATTCATTTTCTAGTTCTGACGTGGAGGAGTCAAGAAAAGTGTGTAGGCAGATAGTTTGCAAGTGAAAATTTGAATGGAGCTACAGGAAGAAAAAAAATTGACTGAATCAAGAGCTCCATCTTCCTGCCGGTGCTAACCCTCTCCACTTTCTTTCCTGCTGGTTCCTTTCCTGCCCTGTTCATGGGTGTTGAGTCTACATGAGAGGCCATGGGGAGCAAGGGGGAAGATGGCACCTCCAGTCTGCAATGCTGACCTGGGCAGCAGCCAAGATGGGAGGAGGCTGGAAAGATGGGAGGTGCTTTGCGTGGCTGTGGAAACATGTTCCAATCTTCTTGCTTATCATCTCCCAAGGAAAAGAGATTTAAAATGATGCACAATGTACCTTGGTCTCCTTGGGTTTGGCGATCTGGCCCTTCCTGTGACACAGGGACGCTTGGCCATGTGAGCTGCCATTAAGTTAATAACTCTTGTCCTCTGTGTAGAAGGAGTTAAGCTAGCACGACTAAAATGTAACACATCCATCATCAAACCCATGGGGGAAGAGGTGTGAGTAGCATGCCTGGCTCTCCTTCTCTGTGCCAATTAACACAAACAACTGGGTGTACTGTATTTCACACAGATTCTTGACATGCCCGCATCAACGAGAGCAATGTCACGTTTTTGTCCCTGAGTGCCAGGTGCTCTTGGCTCCAATTCTGTCTTCTCATTCCTAAAATTGCAGGGATGCAGTCGTCCGTTCTCGCACCAGAATCTGAGTTTTGCACCAGGACCCCTTCCTGAGCTCAGACCCCTTAAACCTGCTGGTTCCAGGAACAGCACCCATTTAGTATCACAGTCCAAACTATTAGAGAAAAGATGACAAAAAGCGAGTACGAGCACTGAATAGATATGGGACAGTGGCACCTTGCATATGACCGCTTTGCAGTGCTCAGGTTCTTTGTAACGGCAAGGCGTAGCTACTCAATTTGGAATTCATCTCATGATTTGTTCAAAGCAACATAGATAGACAGAATTTTTCTTCCTATTTTTATCTTCACATGGAGATATCTCATCCTAAAGCTGGTTGGAACCAAATGATTATGAAACCCGAATTTTGGAAACAGTGAAAATTAAAACCTACCAAAATAATCCTAAAAATTCCTCCTTTCCTTCCTTGGCAAATGGGCTGGGACCAGCCGTTTGCATTTTCTTCTCTTGTCGGAAGGTGGCAGTGGCAGGCCCCAGATCTGCTCGCACGATCTCAGTAGTATGTCCCGGGATGGGTGTTGACTTATCAGGACCACAAGCCCCTTCTACTAAGGGACATGATGCTGAAGGAAGTTCATCTGGAGCCTGGAGATGAGGAAGAAGTGCATTAGCTTCTCTTCACTATATCCCAAGCATGGAGACACCACAGCCTTTCTGGTCTCCCGTTCCAGTTTTTGAACACTCACACGGAGAAATACTTTTTGTTATATCTGACCAGAATTCCTCTTCCTGCAACTTTTGGTCAATGGGCATCCTGAAGGAGAGTCCAGCTCAGCTTTCTCTTTGACCCTTTTTTATGTCAGATGCTGTTAGACCCCCTGAGCCCTCTCTTCTTGGCCTGTTTTCCAGACTGAACAAACCCAGCTTTCTCGTAATTCCTCATATTGCCTGTGGTCGAGTCCCCGGCCAAACCACACAAGAGCTTGGGATCCCAGAGACATGGTGGGCTAGCTCACATAATTGAGTGCTGCCATGGCTGGATACAGACTGTTTAGGAAAGGCAGGCCGGAAAGGTGAGGAAGAGGAGTTGCTTTGTATGTGAAGAGCAGCTGAAGCACGTGGAGCTCTGCCTAGAGATGGGTGATGAGTCAGCTGAAAGCTTATGGGTCAGGATGAGCAGGCAGATCAGCATAGGTGATGTTGTAGTGGGTGTCTGATACAGACCACCTGAGCAGGAAGAAGTACATGAGGCCTTCTTCAGACAACTGGAACAAGCCTCACGTTCACAAGTCCTGGCCTCTTGGAGGGCTTTCACCACCCCAATATCTGCTGGAGGAGCGACACAGCAGGGCAGTAGCAATCCAGAAGGTTTCTGGACTGCACTGGTCACAACTTCCCGACCCAGGTGACCGAGGAACCAACATAGAGAGGTACTCTTATGGACCTCATACTTGCAAACAAGGAAGAACTTCTTGGGGATGTGAAAGTTGGGGGCAGCCTTGGCTGCGGTGACCAAGAGGTGGTGGAGTTCAAGATCCTGAGAGTGGGGAAAAAGACAAAAAGCAGCATCATAACCCTGGAGTCAGGATGGATTCACAAATGGGAAATTATGCCTCATCAGCCTGATAGCCTTCAATGCTGAAATGACTGGCTTGGTGGATGATGTGAGAGAATTGGATGCTGTTTGTCTCTACCCTGTTAAGACTTTCAACACTGTCTCCCACAACATCCTCCTAGATGAGCTGACAAAGTATGGGTTAGATAAGTGGACAGTGAGGTGGACTGAAAACTGGTGGACCAGCTGGGTCCAGAGGCTTGTGATCAGTGACACAAAGTCCAGTTGGAGGCGAGTCACTAGTGGGGTACCACATGATTCAACGTTGGGGTCAACACTGTTCATCTTCAAGAATGACCTTGATGATATGACAGAGCTCTCTTTCAGCAAGTTTGCAGATGATACAAAACTAGGAGGAGTGGCTGGTGCACCAAATGGATGTGCTGCCATTCAGAGGGACTTGAACAGGTTGGAAAAATGAACAGTGGGAAGCCCAGGAAATTCAGCAAATGGAAACACAAAGTCTTCATCTGGGGAGGAATAACCCCTGGCACCAGGACAGACTGTGAGCTGGTTAGGATAGAAAGCAATACCGAAAAGCAGGTTGAAGAAACTCTCCAAGACTTGTTTTGGAGTTTTAGAAAGCAGGCATTCTTTATTGCAGTGCTGGATGCATGGGGGATAATTCCACCTCGTGTACATGCCACAGCTTCAGCACAAACAGGTTGTATAGGGTAACTAATTACATATTAATCAGATTAGTATACATATACATAAAAATTCTTATAACTGATTATCATAGTACTGCCCACATCCAATCATGCGCAATGAAGAATTCATTTGAGTTGAAGGGCTGCTTTTACAACCACCGACCCATTTGAGATTGTTGGCTGTCCTTGAAGTCTTTGTTCTTGTCCTTGTTCTTTGATCTTGAAGCTTAACGCAGTTTAAATCACATGTGGTCAGTTTTAACATTGTTCCCATCTAGCATACAGAGACATCTAGTCATAAGAGCAAAGAACTGCAAAACTTATGAGTAATTACTAGTTAATCACTTGACTACACTTTTGTAATTACCTCTACTAGTTAATCCCTTGGCTACACTTTTGCCTATTGTTTCAATCATAATGTTTGTATATGATTTCTTATAATCATTTATCAAATCCCACTTTTACAGTTATCCAGCAGCAAACCAGTTTTCATAGCAGGTACAAAATATTAAAAACATAAAAAATATTTAAGCA